CTCTTCCTGTAGGGTATGCATTTCACATGAAATAATCATATGACAATATGAAGTACCTATTGACATGCATAAAATACGATGAGCACCAATGGCATATTTGTGGCGATTTGAAAGTTGTTGCACTTTTACTTGGGCTGCAGCTAGGCTACACAAAGTTTTGCTGTTTTTTGTGTGAATGGGACAGCCGGGCAAAGGCACTTCATTAAACCAGACAAAACTGGCCTGTTCGTCAATTCCTAGAGCCAGGTCAAAAAAATGTACAGCATATGCCATTAGTAGATTCGAAAAAAATTTTATTACCACCACTGCATATCAAGTTGGGCCTAATGAAAAACTTTGTCAAGGCATTAGATAGAGATGGGTCAGCTTTTCAATACCTGCGTGGTGGTCACTAATTTCTTAGGAAATAGAAAAGCTGACAACTATAAAACCCTTGTCAAAAATATGCTGTCATCGTATCAAAAGATGGGCTGTAATATGTCTCTTACGATACATTTCATACACTCACACCTGGACTTTCCTGACAATTGCGGAGCCGTAAGTGATGAGCACGGCGAACGTTTTCATCAGGATATTTCAACAACGGAAAAAAGGTACCAGGGAAAGTGGAATACTTTCATGCTTGCAGACTACTGTTGGACTCTTGGTAGAGATGCTCCAGAAACGATCCATAAAAGAACATCAAAAAGACAGCGCATATAGTGATTCTTATAAGTATATGAATCTTGTTACTTTTTTTAATATATCCTTAAAAATAAAAAGTTTTTTTCTAAACCGCAACTAATTTTTTTATTTCATTGTCATTTTTGGATTCAGCGCCCCAAAATTAACAAAGAAGTGCACTTTTCCAACAAGATACAATTAAAAAACTAAAATTTGTTGTCCAGTGTAATTATCCATTTAGGGCTACTCGTATGAAGGTATACTCAATCGCAATAAAATGGTGCAGCAGTGCTACTTGTGTAAAATGCATAAACATGATCCTGGAGCGAAATCTTTAACATTTCATTCGTAGGTATACATCCTGCCTAGGATTATGTTCAGAGGCGTATAATAGCGTCTCACTATCAAGAACACGTTGATTTCGATTTATAACTGTAATATTCAAAACTATAGCCTTGCCAAGGATCTGGAAATGAAAAACAGGTGGTTGTCGGCCCTAGGATTCGTCAAAAACCAGCAATTTCCTAAGAGGATGGAGCTATGTTCCATTATTATATAATGTAATAATATGTATTCATAGCACTTATTTGTTTGCTGTTTACAGGTTTATTCATGGCTGAAGTATTACTTGCTCTGTCCATCGAATGAAGAGTAAGACTTATTAAAGTTTTTTGCTTTTATACTGTTACATAGGAATTAATTCTCCTTTGTAGGCAATATGTTCATACTTCCTCAACACTATCAGCATCAGAAGGTCATAGTCCTGCTAAAACTGCTCTGGTACAAGAACATATATTTTTTAATATATACATTTCAGCTGATATTAATTTAGTGTATTTTTTATGAATGAGGATATAAAAATGAGCTATGTGAATATATTAAAACTTATTTGGGGTCTAGATAATTATACCATGTTTCATGATTTGTTACATTTTGCAATATACGAGGGGCACCCAAAAATAACCTGAACAATTTTTTAAGGCTATTTATTTTCAACTCTTTCAGAAGTAACCTTATCTCCTTCAAAATATTGTCCACTTTAACTAATACACTTGTCTCACCGGTGCTGACACTGCTCGAAACATTTTTTGAAGTCTTCCTTCGAAATGTCTGACAGCTCCTTTATCTTGACCTTTTCAATGTTGTCAAAGTGGCATCTTTAAATGCTCATTTTCACCCGTGGAAATGCGAAAAAGTCGCACGGGGCCAGGTGAGGCGAATAAGGTGCGCGAGGCAGCGGAACCATGTTATCTTTAGCCAGAAACAGTCGAACAGAGATGTCTGTGTGCGCAGGTGCATTATCGTGGTGGACTCACTGCGACAAATCGGGTCTTTTTGCCGAACATTGATTTGCAATCGTCTTAAAACCTCTAAATAACAGGTCTGATTGACAGTGTGGCCTGGGAGAGCAAACTCGTCATGTACTACGCCTTTGACATAAAAAAACAAATCAGAATTGTATTGATGTCAGTTATAGCCCGAGGAACAAACTTGGCAGCAACCATTTTCATTCCCAAATCTTCTGTTAAAATTCGCTAAACCTAACTACAGGACAACCCACTATATACGGATAGTCGATCGATTGTCAGTCGACGGTCTGCAAGCACAAGCTCTCGAATCTTGTCAACATTTTCATCGATTCGGGCAGTTGATGGACGTCCAGAGTGAGGTTTGTCGTCAATCGACATGTCGCCATTTTTAAATCGAGCAAACCACTCGTATAGCTGAGTTTTTTCCATGGCATCACTTTTGTAAGCTATTGTTAACATTAAAACAGTTTCAGCAGCATTTTTAACAATCGGAAAGCAACATTTCACAGCTGCATGTTGCTCACTGAAGCTTGCTATCGTGAAAAACGAAACAAGCATGAAATAGCTCTAGCAAAAATAATGACTACAGAGGAACGAAACATGCCAGATCGACAGCTCAGGTGGCACTGAACTGGTAATGAGTTGCGCTGAACGCCTCTAGGGGCAGAGATGTGTACTACATAAGCTCCGCCCACTGCAATGCAATTCCGGATATTTTTGGGATATATGTATGAATAAAAATAGAACATAATAACTTGGAGTTTCTATTTTGACAGAGTTCATGTAGGCATTCCAATTGAACTAGATATTGTACTAATATAAGTAAAAAATTATAGAACATATATTTATTACTACACAATATTACTTTGTACCGTTTTTTGTGAGGCTCCCGATTTCAATACGCCTATTTTGTCACCCTTATACGTATTGTATGCTACGCCTATGTGTAATTCTACCAATGGATTTTCTTCAATGTCCCCCTCCCCTTTGATTTTTTGAACGGATCAATTCAAAAAATTAACTTGATCTAATGAAGTTTATGGGTGGATACCATATTTTAGAGTAAAGTTGACAGACGGAAATGTCAAGATGGCCGCTGACTACATTGACATTTAATACGTTTAGTTGGAAAGAGAAGATTAAACAAACGAATTCAGAGGAAGTAATAATGTATAAAATTTAAGAGATGACTCCATAAAATCATTATATCAAAAAAAGCTAGAACAGAAGATAAAAACAGAAAATATCGAAAATGAAAGCAATGTAGAGACTAGCTGGAGAAAATTTAAGAAAAATATTCTGGACGCTGCCCGACCCCGATAGCACGAAATATTCATTAAATATTTATTTAATATTTAAGAACATTTTTATCTTACTTAAATATTTGTTTTCTTAAACAAATATTCAATTAATATTTGTTTTCTTAAACAAATATTTAATAAATATTTGTAATTTAATATTTTTATTAAATATTTATTCAATATCTTATTTTAAATACAATATTTATTTTACAATATTCATTAAATATTTACTTTTCAATCAATGGAAAATATTACATCTCCAATATTTAGAAAATATTCATTAAATATTTTCGGCTACGCCACATGTGCGTGTGACCTCGAGCGACCAATTGGATAATTGCAAGCTGGCCTGAGGCATCCATTTTACCTTTGAGTTTCAGTATGATAGCGCACTTCCTCTGTACCCCCGGGTGGTTTATTATTTGAGTGTTTGTTTGTGGAAAAGGGAAAATGGTAAGTTTTTCGATAAATAATACAGGGTTTGTCCGGAAAGTAATACGACTCAGTCGATTTAAAAAAATTGATTAAGCCAATCGTTACAATTCTTTAAAAACTTTCAAAGTAGTCTCCTACTGCGTCGATGCAGCGCTGCCCCCACGATTTCCAAGCATTGAAGGCGTCACGGAAGGCATTCTCTGGAATAGCCTTGAGAGCCGCGGTGCATGCTGCTTGGATCCCCTCTGTCGTCTCAAAATGCTTGCCTTTCATCGGCCTTTTCAGGCGAGGAAACAAAAAAAAGTCCGGCGGGGCCACATCTGGGCTGTAGGACGGCTGCGGAAGCGTTGGGATGCCGGCCTTGGTCAGGTAGCTGTTCACAAGAAAGGCGGTGTGAGCCGGGACGTTGTCGCGGTGCAATTTCCAGTCGGCTGCGATGTCTTGTCGGACCCGACTGACCCTTCGTTTGAGTCCCTTGAGCACTACCACGTAAAACTTGGCGTTGACGGTTTGTCCAGGAGGAACAAATTCATGGTGGGCGATGCCTTTGATGTCAAAAAAAACAATGAGCATCGTTTGGATTTGCTCATTCTTCCCTTTTTTAGGCGAGGAGATCCCGTCGTGTGCCACTCGAAAGATTGCCTCTTTGTCGCGGGATCATACTCAAAGATCCACGACTCATCACCTGTGATTACGTTATTCAAAAATTGGGGGTCACTTTCACACATGTTCAAATTTTCTTGGCACACTTCCACTCGCCGCAATTTCTGGTCGTCAGTGAGCACTTTTGGGACCATCTTCGCGCACACCTTGCGCATGCTCAAATGCTGTATCACAATGTCATGAACCACAGATTTTGGTAGATTTAACATCTGGGCAATTAAACGAATAGTTATTCGACGGTCCGAGTTCAAACCTTTGCGCACACGAGTAACATTATCGGTGTTTGTCGAAGTCGAAGGTCTTCCAGCACGGTCTTCATCAGCGACCTCTTCCCAGCCCTCCAAAAAGGCCTGGTGCCACCGAAACACACCTCTTCTTGCTAAAGCAACACCTGGGTAAGCCTGCTTGATCATATCAAACGTATCTATCGCAGATTTATCGAGTTTCACACAGAAATTTAATCGCGTACCTCTGCTCTAACGAACGCTGCGTTTTCGGCTTGCACCACTTACAGAAACACGTCGCGCGAAAATGCCTGTCCTGACTCTCCAAGTGCTCGGAGACAACTGACCAGCCGCTCATTAGTTAGCTAGGAACGCCCTCTACCGAATGCAGTCGGTGCGCGCATGAGTCCTATTACTTTCCGGACAAACCCTGTAGGTTACGAGGGATGTCTTTTAAGTTTTGCATATGGAGATAGAACAACACGGTGGGTAGTTTTAAATGACTTTATTGTTTTTCGACGTATTCTCCACGAAGATTAATACACATCTGCACGCGCTCGAACCAATTTTCGAAGCACTTATTCCACTCGTTTGCTGGCTGATCCGAAACGGCATTTTTGGATGCGTCAACTGCTTCCTCTGGTGACTGGAACCTTTGACCACGCAGTCTGTTTGTAATTTTCGGGAAAGTAAAGAAATCGTTAGGACTTAGATCGGGACTATATGGAGGATGGTCCAATAATTCCACGTTTTGTTCCGTTAAATACTGCCTTGTATTTTGGGCTGTGTGCGAGCTTGCATTGTCTTGGTGGAGGATGATTCTTCTTTCGGGGTTGATTTTTCGAAGCTCGGTTATGACTTTTGACAAACAAATGGTGGTATACCAACATCAAACCAAACTCTAAGAGACAGAGTAAGATATGAGAAAATACGAAGGAGATGTGCTATAGAGGAAACAAACCTGTGGACCAAAAGAATAAAAATAGAATGGAATCAACACATAGAAAGAATGACAGAAAATAGAACACTACGAATAGCAAGAGACAAATCGCCAAATGGAAGATGATCAATTGAACCACCGAGGAAAAGATGGTCAGACAACATCAATTGAGGCTCAAAACCGAAGTAAAACAGGCATGAGCCTACTAATAAAGTAGCAAGAAGAAGAAGTAAGTCAAAATATTTAACAGGAAACATTTTAAAGTAAGCAACATAATCATCAGCAGACGATTAAAATTTTAGCCGAGAAGTTATTGGAGTGCTAGAACATTCATCGAGCAAATGTACTGATGTTGGTAGAGATGATACTTAGACACGGGGATGGTCAAGACGTAAGGAAAAAAAATATTCGACTGTTGTCTGTTCAAAATATAATTTATTTCCTGCTTAATGTACATCATACTTACGCTATTTCTGTTGTTCTTATGCACTACGCGCCAAAGATCTGTTCACTCACTTCTCACTATATTATTATTCTACTATTACACTTCCCATGGAAAGGAAAAAAGTCGTGAGCTCAAATACATGTGTATAACCTAATCTTCCAGCCTATGACAAACTAGTTTTCATTCTGACACTGATAAGCAGAGTTGTAGAACACTTACACGTAATGGCAAGTTTCTTTAATGCCTGGTATTTTAAAAGCACTTTGTGTTAGAGCACCTTACAGTTACAACACTATGTTTTTGTAACAATACTAAGCTCAAAATCCAGACCCCTGAAACTTGCACCCAGTAGATCCTAAGGGCACTCTGACCAAAAATATGTGGAAACAGAAATGTCGAATATCATCCAACAATTCAGACACTTGACCTGATATTGCGAAGAAACGAATCTAAACAGAACGAAGCATTCTATGAATATCGGATATACTATTAAGGTCAACCTGTATAAGAAATTTCGAGGCCCTTTTGAGGACGCGAAGTTTTTCATAAACTTCCGTCGACCCTTCTGGGCATGAAAGATGATATAAAGCCATCTATATAATACAGGTCGCCACCCCATAAATTCTTATAAGAGCTGCCGAAGCTTGCACTGGACTTTCCTATACGGGTATACAAGGCGATTCGCTCTAGAACGACATGAATGAATGAATGAATGAATCTTGAAATTAGAGGCATTCCGGCCACCATAAGGAGCCAGTGCATAGGCCGCTTAAGCGGGCCCTTATGCACCTCTACAATCCTTAAATCACTAGCCTCGCCCTTTTAGCGAAGTTGAGAATCACCTTGAGTCCAAGCTCCTTGACGTCTTGAGGGTCCAAAGTAATGGACCCCAGTATAGTCTGTCTATAGTAGCTCAGAGCTTCACAGCGACACAACTATCCAGAGATAGGCAGAAGCGTCCATCCTTAGCACTGGGCCCTTCAATGAGTTCTCGTGCCTGGCGGAGATGTCTCGAGATACTTCTCCATTTCTGAGAGTGTTGTCTTGCAACCCACGTCTCCATTTTCCTCCTAGCTTTATGCGCGGTCACTTCTAGAGCTGGCTCAGGACCAACGAGCTTGCTGGCTGATCCTGTTTTCGCCAGAGTGTCCGCCGTCTCATTGCCCGTTATCCCAGCGTGCCCCGGTACCCATATTAACGATACCGGATGCCTCGCTGCGAGGCAATCCAGAGCCTCCCTGCATTGCAATACAAGACTCGAAGTAATCTTACAGGCACTTAGTGCTTTCATTGTAGCCTGGCTGTCGGATAAGATTGTTATTCTTCTCCTAGGCCTACCCTCCTCCAGAATGTGAGATACACAATCCAGAATCGCAAAGATTTCCGCCTCGAAAATGGTGGTGTATCCACCGAGAGGCAGAGATAGCCTAGTTCTAGGCCCAGAGACCCCAGCACCGGAGCCCTCTTCGGTGACCGAGCCGTCCGTGTACCAGACCTGCCCACTCACTCCGGAGAGTCCCCGGCTACCGGCGCCCCACTCCTCCCTCGTTGGATACTCCACAATAAACTTGCGGTTGAAGCGATATTTAGGGGTAATACGATCACCCCTGCTTAGAAGGACGGGGTCCTCCCTTTCTAATTCGACTAAGATGGCAGTATGCCCCTTGACAGGATTCAAGAAAGCCCAGCTACCCTGACTCCACAGTCGACATAGTAAAGTCCAAATGGCCTACCATGAGAAAACTAAGGGTTGTTTCTAGTGGTCCCCTTATAGGTCACTACAGGCGCACACTTGTTGAGGGAAAGGGAAGCGAATAGAAGGGAAGCGAAGTCCGCCCGCAGGATTGCATTAAACATAATCAAATGACGACACGCACACTTCATGGACGGATTTCCTCCGCGTTGCTTCTCCTCAATGTGCGTGTTACGTTTATCCTCCTTGTCACTCGGATGTGACCGGAGGGATGTCACGTATCATAGGAGGCATTCTTTTTCGATCCGCACGGGTATTATGTAAAAAACCTATAAAACGTCAAAAAAAACCCAAAAATGTCATCTTGGAGACTAGGTGAGTTTTAGGCTGCTAACAGTCATTCCACGTTTGCTCACTAGGATTTTTATGAGCGTCCATCTATGGAGTAATAACTTAACTACACGTATTGTTGGTAGCGTATGTTTTGTGAAGCCGAGTAGTCAGTAGTTTTCATCTCTGAGAAGAAAGTTGATTGAATACATCGCATCTGGATGATACTGTGTATTGGTCTGCATGTGTATAAAATCAGTGATATTTGCTATGTGAGAAAATCATTACTGAATATACCGCCAGTGTATCTATTAGCTGTGCCCGACGGATTATCTATATGATGTTTTACGTTTTCTTGTATATTCAAATACTTTGAGGAGAATTACGGGAAATCGCCACCGCGCCCGCGTAATGTTTAACTACACTTAGCATGTACGAGTATATGACTTGTAATTCGACAGCGTACAGTGAATATAATTATTTCGTATCTCTCTCATTTTTGAAGTTCAGCAAATTTTCATATATAATTTCCAGAGTGGATAAGAAAAAGTGGATGCGCAACTAATTTCTAGCTATGAATCTCAAGTATGTAAGTGTATTTGGAACAAGAATGCAATGGAATTACCATCAACACAGATTATATTAGCATACAAATCCTCACTATGCACCGCCGTTTCTTCTACCTATAGCATACAACTTACAGCTTAGACCTCCAGCAATGCCATCTCTGAAGCAAATTTTACATCAACTTCATAGCCAAAAATTGATAACTGAAGCATCATGACGTTTAGGCAACACGTACAACTACAAAACGAGTTCACAACGTGTCCATTAGCTAATGCTAAGTTAACATCTTGTAGAAAAACCTACATAATGTCGCAAAATTAAAAAAAAACGTCAAAAAAATCGACATAGTGTCACTTTTCAAGATACGTAATGCCCGTGCCGTGATGACCTGTCTTCCATTGACGTAAAAGCCCACATGGGTAGGCCACAGCATTCCTTATATTTAAGGGTGTAATAGGGTAGCTTTGTTGTTAAAGACTAGGGATTAATTTTCTCACATACCAACTCAATAAATATAGGTACCACTTGTCTGAAATTTTCAATCGATATGAATTTGAGATAGTTGTAGAAGGAGAAGTACTTTATTTGTGTTGACACTCGTCGAATTCAAAATATAAATGACTAGACACTCTACAATTTTCCACGAGCAACAGTGAAATGGATGGAGCTTACGTTAGGAAAGCCAAAATATGAAACAATAAGTCTTTGAACTTGTCAGATAGAAATTCGTCGAAATTATAGAAGGGTTTACACGAAAGGTAATATTACTATTCAACTGTGTACCGTTTAAGATATTGAGGTTCTCAAGTAGCACATTGTGAAGCTCCATGCAACCATGTGTATTTCATATTTATTGTTCTGACTAGATTAGGAGTCTCTCTTATATTCACTAATGCCGGAGAAAACCATTGAAGCTTATCCCTGTTGAAGCTAGCATGTGTAGGGTTTGAGGGAAACCATATTCGACAGCAGAAGAAATTAATTTTCCAAATCATCCAGTGTCTATCTCTAACGAGGATTTGTCAATAAAAAGTCAATTAACTTCTTATGAAAGAAGTATGTTACTCGAATAAACCTTCTTCAGTAACGGATCTTAAATTGACTCTATGTTTAGGTACTGGAACGTTTTTAGGGTGGCGGTAAGATAATGATATTACCTGCCTAAGTGATTAGAAATACCTACAGTTTTGTTAGGGTGGTTATCATTTGAAAGATCCGTAAAAATATCAAGGCAAGTACTACCCCGTGTATTTATATTAATGGTGGGTTGCAATCTAATGGACTTCCGCAAGTTAACTGGTAGAACTGCATTTATCTCGTCGGCATCGAACTTGACATTGGAGTCACGCCTCACAATGATTGTGCTGTGTCGTTATGTTTCAGTTAAGACTGATCCCATATGCTTCAAGAAACTATAGGTATACCTATGGCTTAATTTCCTATATAATTTAATAAGATATTTTCCTATCTTTACTACCAAATCTAGTGAAAAAAGTAAAAAAAATCCATTTTCTAAAAGAAGTTAAACAGTAATTTTAGGAGAACAATTCATTCAGAAATTCTTAATACAAACCCTGAGATCTGTGACATCGATATGTGTCAAGTTGACATAGAAATTTTAGAAGTTCGATAAAAAAATGGAAATTATTTCGACTAGGTAGAAAAAAATCGACAACGGTGTAATTCTAGCATGTATCACTGGAAACCATCACAGAAAGCTCACCAACAGCTACATAAAAACGGGACGCCACAAACGTGATGAACGACGTTAGATAGTGTTTTGAAACTGGCAATATCTCCAGAAATATTTCTTGGTCCAACACTGTTCCTCTTACACTTCATCCACCGCCTTTCCTGTACGTAGCATCGAATATTGCTCACACGTTTCGGGTTTTGCCGCCCTGACTGGCCTTCTTCTACCGCTACACCAGCGGGCTTTGCTCTTCGGAGCTCTCCTCCATGATGCCGCCTCGCGACGTGCCCGTAAGACAGACCCGCCTGACTTCGGCAGTTAAAAAATTTGCAAAGCTTATTTAAACTCCTGATAGAAGACGCGGTTCATCTCAATTGATCAAAAGTTCGCCATCAAAGACAAAGTCTTTGGCCTCCTATCGGAACAGTATCGAAATTCCTACGTGAACAACTGACCGATACGACCGCTCCTTTGTCCCTAGGGTGTCAAGATTGTGAAACAACTAACCTTAGGCAGTTCAGACATCATATTAACAAAGTTTCTTTCTGATCCTCCTAGCAACCGCGGTGCCCTGTCATTTAGGCTTCTGCCTGCGCGGCTGATTCTATCTACAAAAAAGAAAATACGTAACTCAACGTGGAACAGAAGGAGTGCTTTAGCCAACGAACTCGCAAAACCCTTTAGAAAAGATTATATCTGCTCTGCTTTATACATGCTGAAACTAAAATGTTTAATCAAGGTGTATAAGTATGAAATTCTCAGAAAAATTGTAGCCAAGAAGAAACGTCTACTCTTGAAGTAGTTAATTTTTTCCGGGATTTCTCGGCTCCGCAAAAGCAAGAAACGATGGAAAATAAAGCAAAAGAAGACTGTGCTCAACACCAGAATGACTTTAACGATCATTCGGGGAATATTAAGCCTCAGTTAAACGGAAAATGCTGTCTGCTGGTCTGCCCCGGCTATATATATAAGATACAATTAATGGTTTACACTAGTGGCCAAAAATGGTTCTTTATTTCACAGACGCAACTTATTGTTAGACGAGAATCAAAGTTCTCCAGTAAATTGCGCCTATAGTTTTTGACAGGCTCAAAAAGATTGATGACCTTACAGATTTCGATGTGACCTCCGAATTTTCCCTCTACCACCTCGCATCTTTTTCCCGCTAGAGATGCCTTTTTGAAAAAGTTCCGCCCAAAAACGGTTGTTGGGGGTACTATGTAGTGGGGATAAAAGTGCAGTTGACATTAGTCAATTTTTAAGTGCGAGTGTTTGTAGATAACTGTTGGGTTAGTCGATTTCAAAACTTGCTACTTCTTCACTAATTAGCAAGGAGCAGCACAAGCCTAATGAAGGCAGATGTTTCCACCAGTATTATGATTATAGTAGTTGATAGAACTTTTGTAACTTTGGCAGGCATTGATAGACAAATGAGTTAAAAGTATTCACTAAAACTACGCAATTTTGGCTACAAAAATGCAATGTAAACATATAGGCTTGGCTCTTTCTAATCTAATCGAATTCGTTGTTTCAAACTGATTTTATGATTCTATTCAGCGATAAATTTGTCTAAAGAAAATTAACTACGAGGTATCCATATATGGTTATCCATGATCAACATTTTCAACGTACGGGCCAGCAATACTTACTATAAAACAAACATATCTATGGCAAATCGTTTATTGCTTCGAGGATTTGGTAGTTCCACAACATGTCAGAAAGCCTAAAAAAGACTGCCTCCATTATTTCGACGTGACTTTCCGCATTTCTACTTTGCTACCTTTCAGCTTGTATCGGAATAACACTGCCTCGTAGGTTTTAGGATATTTGCTCTAGCTGATTTGTCATAGAGATGAAGACATTATGAGAACACGGAAGAAACAGTCTACTGGTCGGCTCTCTTCCAATATGGCACCAAAGGCGATTAGGATGATAGGTAGAATCGCAGGAGTGACTAACAGTCCCAGAACTGAGACAGTCAGAAACTGCTTACGGAAATAATTGACTCATTTGGTAAAAGGATCGACTCGCTACCGGTGGGAGCAAGTAGTGTAGAGGTTGGCCAACTAAGAATGCTAGAAAGTGTGTCTGGATACCTATCAAACGTAAAGGCTTTCGGCAGTAACAATTATATGTCGGATAAAGCGTACCGCCGGGTAAATCGTACCACCACCATTTTTGAAATGATGATCTACTACCCGTGACACCTCTTGTCAAAATTTAGAAGCTTTTATGATTATATTTGCCCCGCCCAAATTATTCTTTGCAGTTCACTTTGTAACGGTTTCACCGTCCGATCGTATTTATTAAATCACTTCTCGATTATCATTTCATTAATCCCATCTCTAGCTTTTCTACTTGGAAAATTTTCCGCTTGGAGCGCTTGATGCGGAGTTCCTGATCTGCGATCTTCCTCGCGCTTTTTTTTCACTTGAGCCGCCGATCGAACAACAGCTAAAAATTTTCTTCTCTGTAGCACAAGGTCATATAGCACCATGTGCTAGAATTTTGTAGAATGTGTGTCCGTATAGGACAAAATGATTGGGGCCTTTCCCTTTCCCTTTCTCTTTCTCTTTCTCTTTCCCTTTCCCTTTGCCTTAGTCTTTGACTTTGCCTTGCTTGGCCAATATTTTCACCCATGCATGTGCCTTGGCAGCGCCATCGCCTTTAACTTCGCCTACAACTGGTTATGAAGCCACTATAGTGAGGTCACCCCTCATAACTGGGACCTCCCCTTCAAGCACCTGGCCATCCTGGCTTCAGTTGAGTCAAAATGGACCAGCGAAAGATAAGTTGATAGTTTTATAGCAGCGCCAAAGATGTAAAACTTATTTTGTTCTTTAAAACTGTAAAATTGTAATGTAATGAAAATGCCTTTTTTTTGTTTAATAAAATCTGTTAAATTTTTGTGTTCTGTTTGTTCTTCTATCTTCTAGCCATGCCATGGTCGACACACAGCTGCACGCCTGTAGATGTCTTCATGCCACCGACTGAGCTACCGGAAGCTAATTGTAACCCCCTTTCTGTGATTGTGCAGAAAAGTTGGAATCTTCATTGCATTCCATCTTTTCTGGACTTTTTGCGGAAAGGAAGCGTTTCAACTTCACACTGTAAGTCAGTTTGAGGTTAAATTAAAAGCCACTTCATGTTATGTTTTGCTCTCATTCATAAGCTTATAAACTTTTTTTCACATTTGGTAAGTAGCTATTTTCAAGATATATTGTTTACGTATTTTATGGACAAGTAGTTAGTTGATGCTGTAATAATTAGTCGAAAAACGGTTTATTTAGGTTGAAATTTAATTGATAAACGTAAATTCGTGCTTGTTCTGTATATCGTGCCACCCACGGTTATGTAAATCGTACCGGTACGATTTACCCAACTGAGGGTCTTTGCTTCGATTTTTAACTAAGTTTTTATTACAGTTTTTTAAAAAAGAAGATGAGTAAAGTAAGAAATGAGAAAATAACAAAACGGGAATACTGTCGATGGAACTCAGAAGATATGGACCATGCGATTAATACATACAAACAAAACCAGTGTGGTTTTAATGAGTGCTGCAGACGTTATAACATTCTAAAGCAGACTTTTAGAAGGCACGCGTTCTTCAAATAAAAAGGCCAATGAAAATGTTCAGTCTTTGGGTCGACACACAACTTTTAGCCCTGAAATTGAAATGGAATTGGCAAAGCATAGTTTAAAGCTGGAAGAAAGATTTTTTGGTGTAACAATTCGGGATGTTCGACAATTGGCTATTCAAACAGCTGTTCGGAATGATATTCCCCACAGTTTCAATATCAATGAGGAAATGGCTGGAAAAGGATGGTATTATTCTTTTCTGGACCAACATCCTGAACTGTCACGTAGACAATCAGAGAAAATCTCCATGGCCAGAGCAACTGGACTCAACCATAAAAAAACGTCCATGGGTTTTTCGATATTTAAGAAAAATGTGTTGATCAAAAAATTTATAACGTTGATGAAAGTGGATTTTCAACAGTTCAGAAACGGAATCAAAAAATAATTGCACGTAGAGGAAAGCACCAAGTTGGAGGTATAGCAAGTGGTGAAAGGGTCGTAAATACCACAGTTGTCGTTTGTACCAGTGTTGGCGGTCAAACTGTACCACCCATGATAATTTTTAATACCTGGCACTATTGTTACAATTTCAAATACTGGATATATAAATGGTGAACTTTTTGTTAAATGGTTACAGCACTTCATTGAATACGTAAAGCCAAGTACCGAAAAAAGGTTTTACTTTCACTAGATGGCCACACAATGCACTCTAAGAATCTAGAGGCACTCATTTTAGCAAAGTCATGGAATTCTACTACTGCAACTACCTGACTATACTACAAATCGGCTGCAGCCGTTAGACGTGAGCTTTTTTAAGCCTATAGAGTCCTATTTTTCTCAAGGTCTAGTAACATTTTTAAGAAATAATCCTGGTAACACTGTTTCTCAATACAATATGACTGGATTGCTCTCTGATGCCTATGCAAAAACAGCATCAGTAGGTACTATCATGAATAGTTTCAAATGAACTGGAATATGGCCGGTTGATCGCACTGTATTTTCTGAGACCGATTTTATCGGTGGTAATGCCTTGCTTGAAAATTATTCAGAAAAAGCAAGTGAGGACTCAGAGGCAGAAAATCTACGTGAAACGACTCCTGAGCCTAAAGACGATGTTGCTGAGCCACCAGTTCACAGTGACAGTACTGAACAAAACAAAAATTGCAACAAAACAGATATCAATACCTCTATTGAAGAAATTTACCATCTACCCTGAATAATAATCGTACCACTTGCAAGCCTGTCTTTTTTTGTATTTCTTTGCTTAAGATGTTGTTTGATTCAGTTGAGCTTTTGATTCATAGAGAGCTAAATCTTTATTTGCGCGTGTGTGCTAGTATTATCAATAAAGAGTTTAGTTTTTGAGTACAGTGGTCAAAAATTTAAAAATCGAATTTACCCTATGAGAGTCGAAATTGAAGCTGCAGTTTTGTCTACCCAGCATTTCGAGCATTTAAGGGGATATTAAGAACCTTTCTTTCTTAAATCGGTCCTTTATAGGGTCACATCTAAGATATCGAGATGCGGTTTTCGCGAGCTGGTTAAGACATCATTTAGCTAATTTTTCATAAAAAAAATCGTACTATTGCATTTATTTTTTTGAGGAAATCAAACATTTATGACGGAATATGGAAAAAATCCCTATAGCGGCCACATGTGGAACTAACAAAACAAATATTGTAACATTTGTAGTACAGAAATAGCTTATTTTCAGCTAGCTCAAGTTTGTTAAAAGCGGCTCAGCCGTTTTGAAGATACAGAATACATCAAGACCATATTCGAGTATAACGTATAATTGGGAGGTGCTCCTATCGTCATTTGGTCTACATTTTGTCAATATTAAATGTAAACATCTTCACAAAAACTGTACTCGTTGAATGTTAACAGTCTGATAGCTATAGGGGTACACGTCACTATCTCCACGGATAATTAAGATGTGCAATTAATTTATGTCCACACTATTTTGCGAAACTATGAATAGAAAATAGTAGGTTGCCCCACTACTTACCACACATTAGTATGTATAATTATATGTACACTGTTTCTATAAGCTACTGTTAAGAAAACTGAATTTTGCAAACTATTTATGCTTAAATTGATCAAATCCATCTAAGAGACATTTTAGCTAGACAAAAATTCTAGCGTTATTGGCGGTATGTTTATGCAACCATACCAGGCATGCCTGGCTTAAGAATGTTCAGATAAACATGCACTTTTATTCGTGGGCGTCATGGGCAGCACTACGTCAAAAAATAATCACCAACTCCGAAAATATTAAAGAAATTGGGTTTGTTGATCCTCTCCAATTTTCCATTTTTACTTGTTCCTGCGCCTTGATTGGTGAAGGAATTTATGGCGTTCTGCCATTGGAATATCAGTAAAACTATGCATCCAGCAAAAAATTAGGAATGTTTAACCTAGCTTACCATATAGCTTTTCACCGCAGGAAGAATTGTAACTGCGATACTGTGGAAGATCTATTTACTACTAAGTAATGGAGCTATTAGGGTAATCATCTTGAGTTCAATTCCTGCAAATAGGTCAACCTACACTGGCTCATTATTGAGCAGTCCGTCGGGACCAATGGGTATCATGTAAAAAACCTATCAGATGTCATCTTGCAAACTAGGTAGTTTTTATGGCGCAAACAGTCATTCCACGTTTGCTCACTAGGATCGTTGTGAACGTCCATCTAAGGAATCACTCAACTAAACTACACACCCATTATTGGTTGCATATATTTTGTGAAGCCAAATGGTCCTTGTCTGTAGTTTTTATCTCTGAGAAGAAAGTTGGTTGAATAGCAAGATCGTATCTGGATGATTTTGTGTATTGGTCTGCATGTGTTTAAAATCATTGATATTTGCTGTGTGAGAAAATCATTACTGAATGTGCTGCCAATGAAGTATATCTATTGACTGTGCCCGACGAGTTATTTTTATGTTGTGCTTTCTGAAAGGAGGTTATGTTCAAAGTTATCAATTACGAAGAACTAAAGAGAATTACGGAAAATCATCACCGCGCCCGCGTTGTGTGTAATTACTGTTAGCATGTATATGGCTTGTAATTCGCAGTGTACAGTGAATATAATTATTTCTTGTCTCTCTCATTTTTGAAATTCTGAAAACGAGGGTGCGCAACTAATTTTCAGCTTTGAATCTCAATTTATTGTATTTGAGACAAGAATCCAATGTAACTATCATCAACACATACAACTTACAGCTTTCTCCCTGCAGAAGTTCGTCCGAAAATTACTGACAAAAGAGCTGCAATTAAGCAAGCGAAGAGGTCTTGTCACCCAGATGACATTCACAGAGCAACAAATCTTGTTCATGAAGTGAGAAATGCTCTTCATGAATTCCGTAATGAGCAAAGGAGCGACTTTCTGTCGGGGATGCTTGACTCAAGTATTCCTCTCTGGAAAGTTGCAAAGTCACTCAGAAACGGAAAGCGAGAACAACTCCCGCACATCCACGGTCCTAGGGCATAGTCTGTAGGACAGAGGAAACGGTCGAGATTTTCGCTGATGCAATGGAAAGTCAGTTCTCTCCCAACTATGAGCTTGATAATGACCTCGACGAGGAGCAACATATTGTAAGATCAGTCAGGAGATACTTTAGGGCCAAAGGCGTCAGTGGCAGTAGTGCCACCCTTAGTGATTTTTCCTCAGAGGAATCTTGAGAAGATTTCTCAACTGAAGAGCTGCATGGCACATCAGCGGAATCTCCTGAGACTCCGCATTGCACACCAGCAGAGCTCCAAGGTCATGCTAAAGACCTCAAGTTGCGTAAAGCACCTGGAGAGGATCGAATCACTAATAAGGCGCTGAAGCTACTTTCGCGGAAGTCCTTAACTTACCTAGTGGCAATAATCAATGCCATGCTAAGGACCCAGCACATTCCAATGGCGTAGAAGACCGCTGATGTCATAACGATTCGAAAGAAGGTGGGTTCGATATTCCCCCAGGATTATCGCCCCATTAGTCTACTGTCAGCTCCTACTAAGCTCGCTGAAAAGGTGATTCTACGTCACCTTGAAAATTTCTCAGCAGACCACAATGTGATTCCTGACGTGCAATTTGGCTTTCGGTCTGAGCATAGTACGGAGCTATAGACCCTAAGGCTTGTTGAACGAGTAGCCAGGGGGGTTCACCCGTAACGAAAGTACTGGCATCTTGCTTCTGAATGTCTCAAAGGCATTTGACACGGTGTCGCACAAGGGCCTTCTCTACAAATTGATCCATAAGGGCTTCCCCTTCTGGCTCCTAAAACTTTTGAAATCCTTTCTCGAGGGTAGGATGTTTCGGATCAAAGTTAATAACGTTCTGTCGACAACACGGCCCATCAAAGCCGGTGTCCCTCAGGGTTGGGTTCTTGGACCAGTTCTTTATTCACTTTTTATTCATGACGTCCCTTGCCCCAGCAACTGTGAAATCTATCTCTATGCTGTTGACACTGCCCTGGTGGCCCAGTCGTGCTCTGGGGATCTAGTTCACGACAAGCTGCACAGTGCAGTGGACCAGGTATTGGAATGGGCGAATCCGTGGCTGATCAAAATTAATCATTCGAAAACGTAGGCAGTCTACTGTACTAAAAAACGTAGCGGCGGTATCTCGGTGTCACTCTTGACAAGGGAATGACCTGGCACACTGAAGCACACTGAAGCGTTAAAAACTAAATTCCAAATCTCGTTTCGGAGACTCTACCCTATGCTATGTAGAACGTCAAAATTAAGTTTGATCAACAAAGTTCGACTATACAAGATGGTTATTAGACCAGAAATCACTTAAGCAAGTGCGGCTTGGTATTTTCTCGCCAAAACGCATTTGCGTAGCCTAAAGGTTTTTCAGAACAGAACCTTGCGTACAATCACTAACGCTTCATTGTATGTCTCCAACGAGACCCTTCACAGAGACCTTGACATCCCTTACCTAAGGGACTACATAAAACAGCAAGCGCAGCTACGCTATAGTCAAGCGGAATCGATAACAACCCTTTGTTGCGCGAGTCAGTAGACTACACAGTCGAGCATGTTCGCAAGCACACAAGGCCGCGACTCGCACGGTGAACAAAACTAAATCGTGCGACTTTAGCTCCAACCAAACTTATAATTTCCTTCATCAACCAATCCCAAACTTAATTTTAGGACCAATTTAAAATTGTCGAATGCTAATTAGCAATGCCAAGG